AAGGCGAGACTGGTGTTTATACCCAAGGGCAAAGGGGACCCAAACTCTCCTTCATCCTTCCGGCCACTCTGCATGCTAGACACAGCAGGCAAAATGATGGAGAGTCTGCTCAAAATACGCTTGACGTCAGCCATAGAAAGCGAGGGAGGCCTTTCACCCCGACAACATGGCTTTAGGAAGGGACACTCAACTATAGGAGCAATTGGCGAAGTAGTCGAGGCGGTACATAAGGCCGAAGAAGCCTGCCACCAGGCGCGGCCAATAGTGCTGCTAGTAACACTGGACGTCAAGAACGCCTTCAACTCGGCAAGATGGGACGATATGCTGGAGGCCTTGGAACGGTCATTCAAGGTTCCAACATACTTGCCAGATATGATCCGGGACTACCTCAGAGACCGTTGGCTTTTGTACGACACAACACAAGGTCAGAGAAAGATACGTATAACCGGCGGAGCGGCACAGGGGTCTGTACTTGGCCCGGACCTCTGGACCGCCACGTATGACAGTCTGTTGCGCACGGAAATGCCGGAGAGCGCCTTCGCGGAGGACGTGGCAGTCGTCATAACAGCAAGAAATGTCCAGCTAGCACAGCTCAAGCTAAACCAGGTCATGCGCAACGTCAGTGGATGGATGAGCGATCACGGTCTGCAATTGGCTACAGCCAAAACGGAGATCGTGCTCCTCACCAGGAAACGGATCCCAACAATTTTAAATATAATGGTCGGACCTCAACTCGTGACGACTTCTAGGTCTACAAAATACCTAGGGGTGAAGCTTGACAGCAAACTCACATTCTGGGAACACATCCATGGAGTATGTGAAAAAGCTGCGCAGAGCACGGCGGCTCTAAGCCGGCTGATGGCGAACGTGGGCGGCCCGAAGCCATGCCGCAGGAAGCTTCTGATGACTGCGGTCCAATCGGTGCTCCTGTACGGGTCAGAAATATGGGCTGACGCATTGAAAGTCAAAAAATACCGGATTCAAATGTCTGCGGTACAGCGCAGAGGGGCACTACGCATTGCTTCTGCATACCGTACAGTGTCCGCGGACGAGGTTCTAGTTATTTCTGGCATCATGCCAATTGAGCTACTTGCTTCCGAGCGAAAAGAGATTTACAATCTCAGTGCCGAGATAGGTCGAGCAGCTGCCGCGGCAAGGGCGCGCGAGCAACTGATCCAGCAGTGGCAACAAAACTGGAACGCGAGCACAAAAGGTCGATGGACACACTCCCTGATAGCCGACCTTCAAACATGGCTGAAGAGACCACATGGGGAAGTCGATTTCTACCTGACGCAATTCCTCACCGGTCATGGTTACTTCCGAGAATATCTTCATAGAATGGGAAGGGTGGACTCACCGTTCTGTCACTACTGTGGAAACGTCGAAGATAACGTGTACCACACATTCTTCACCTGCGAACACTTCTTGATTTCGCGCAGAATGTTGGAAGAAAGACACGGAGACATTACTCCGGACAACATAGTTGGGATAATGATTTCCAGCGCAGAAAAGTGGGAAGCAGTTGCGAGATACGTGAAATTCGTACTCCGCTGCAAACGAGAGGACGGTTGTCTACTGAGGACACCCGAATGAAACGCCCCTACAAAAGAGCGGCCCCAAGGCTCTAACAGCGCGCTCCTGCATCTGAAGACATGCAGAATTGCGGTGCCAGATGCGGGATTCTTGCGCGGGCGGTGGGAGTTTGGGTTTTAGTGGGTAGCCCAACACGCTTCGGTGGGAGTCCTACACTCGGGGAAGGTAGTATAGAGACTAGCGCCTCCGGCCAGTGCATAAAGCATTTCCCTCTCCTACGAAGAAAAAAAATAAAAAAATAAAAAAAATAAAATATATAATAATAATAATCTATACTATAATAAAACTGTAGATTGTTTGTCTGTTGGAACTCACTAATCTCCGGAACTACTGAATGGATTTTCATGGGGCTTTAATTGGTATATAGAGACGTAACCTAGGGTATAAAAGAAATGAAACCTGACAAAGGGCGATGCACCTCCCATAGGCGTGACATTTTTAATCAACCATAACTTCGAAATCATACGTCACATGAATTTGAAATTCTGTTCTGCATCGCAAAAATGGTGCCGACAGATGGCGCCGGAGTCGAGATATTTAGAGACCCCGTCTTCATCGTATGACCAGGAGTAACGGGTGCTAACTCTATGATAAAAAGAATACGCTAGGAATATCAATGATTAAGAAGAATACGGTAGGAATATCAATGACCCCGTTTGAACGCGTAAACTTTCATTCTGGGAACAGGAGGATTATAGAAGATTACGCACTCTTGGCAAACCTTGCAATACGTACAGATATCTCACAGGTGGAAATAAGAGCTCATAACATCGAAGAATATTAGTACTTAACCCAAATACTATCTCATCGCTATTATTCTTGGCCTATGAGTAAGCAAGGTTCTGCTCTTTAGTCCTTTCAACCTAAACTAATAAATTTTACATTACAAACCGTTTTTGTTTAGCAACCCCATTTTAGTATTGGTCAACGTAATAGTTCTTATAAGGCGTCGCGAAGCAAGCCAGGCATTTGCTAGTACATACATATGTACCTATGCTTTCGGTATGCTTAAATTAAAAAAGCATCACTAAATACCGCACCAAGCATTGAATTCCAATTATACGTATGCTGCGAATGGTTCATTATACTAAAGCCAGTCTTCCGACATACGTACTATACTTCCTAATAGGCTTGTAAAATGCCCAATACCCAAATCCCCCGCATGAGTTATTATCGGTAAAAAATTGGGTACGCTCAAATCTGGCACCAGTGAAACAGTGTTGATATTTTAAGTACAATTGTACTTTTTTCAGTATAATTAATTTTAAAATGTACAAAAGTACAATTGGCCGACTTTAAGTACAATTTCAACATCAAAAATACTTTTTGTACCAAACGCTCAAATCTCTTCTAGCACTTTGATTCTTAATCCGTTTACATTTAAGTAAATGGATATACCTATATTTCATATTTGCTACAAAACGAAATTATGAATTGTAATTTTGAATGTAAACGTGATTGAGAACAGTAATATTAGTGATGTGCGTTATGGTGATTGCGATTTCTTATCATCGGCGGGTTAAATATCCCTCATCGCTATTTATTTTGAAAAAATCTTTGGAAATGCAATTTACCTAATGGCGATCCTGCAGAAATAGAAGTAACTGAGCAATTTGGGGGTTGAAAGTAAAAAAATGTATGTAAATTTCATGCGTTGAAATTATAAATTTCCGTTGAGGATTTCCATTTTATCGATAGTGATCTCATTTTATGTTCATTAATATGAACTAACCTATATAGTGTATTAATGTTTTATCATCATTGTCTTCATCTTTAACAAAATTACACGGTCACCCGGTATTTATTTTATTTTTTTAAATAATTTTTATTATTTTTTTTTTTATAAAATTGTAGCTCATTATCAAACAAAAACCTTGCAAATAAATCGAAACTTGAAAGAATGAACAAAATCAACAAAGTTTCATCAAATTTTCACAGGTTTTGTTCAGAATTTGTAGACATGTTTTGGGTTAACATTTTTGTAGCCCATTCATTCTAGTATAATAAGGTGCAAGTTTGAAGTGTCTAGAAAATACCATTGATTTTTTAAATTTTTCTGTTTGCGGTGTTGCGCACTTTCTTCCATATAACAAACGTTCGCATTTTATGTTATGTGGATGAATGCGCGTGTAGCGTTGTTGTTTTTTATGCCAATATTTTAAATTAAGCTTTATTTTATAGTTTTTCTTAGACAATGATAAATGATGTACACAAATTTCAGTATGGAAAACAAGTGCAAAACCTTCAACAAAAAAAGTTCTCAAAAATCTACGCGAATTGAATGTACTATCAATCATTTAAACATCTCGGACTCGCCCACCACTAAAAATGATTATTTAAATCTAAAGTATATATTAAATGATATTTAATATTTGCTTTAGAGATGAAATTTCGACAAATTTGTTTAAACAAAAATGTTAAGGGCATATGCAGGATGTGGAAGCGAGATTCTTCTGCTTGCGTTTCTATGTTTATATCATTTATCAGTTTAAGCACATATGATTAAATGTAAAAAAAATATTTTTAATTGCGGATCCGAAAGAAATATTTATTAGTTGCATTGAGTTACGCAAAAATAGTGCCGAAATCAATCGATTGTGCTGAAGGTGCCGGCTGCTTCCGAAAGGGCCGAAAATGGCACAATGCACACTCATTTTCCATCACTGTCACACATACAATCTCACTATTCTGTTGACTTCGTTATCCCCTTCCGATAACTTTTTGCTTCCGCCCTTGCCCAGCACCGCTGTGCAAAGCTTTGCACGCGCAGTCGCCCGCGACACATATGTGCTGATTTGGGCATCCCTACCATAGGGATATCGAAGTTTGGTTCAATATGCATAAACCTTTTTTTTTGTAAACCTGTGTTATTTCTTCTTTCACGATCGAGGAATTCTGTAATAGCGTATTTCCACCAAAAGCTTAACTGCAGTTAAGAGTTCAGATTAGTTCCATTAATTTTAACATGGGGTGATCGGCAAGGTTTGTTTCTTAATTTTTGCTTTTTTCCTTTCGTTTGGTTCTACTTAATAGGTGGGATTACACCCTTCGATAATCTCCTTTTTCCAATAAGCATAAACTGCAGTTAAGCCTTGGTGGAAATCAACTATAATACTCATATGTACATTTGTTCACATTTCCGTAAAAAAGCGTGAGTGATTAAAACCGAGGCGGGTAAATGTGAGACAGAAAACCAAAGCAAAGCATGAATATGCGTGACTTTGAAGTCATCATGATGAGCGTGCGTCAACGTGAGCCAAAATTACTCACGCCTCAACAACGGGATCAACAAACGTATCGTCAAGCGCGCGGCATGCACATTTTAAGACATAAGATTATTAGTTATTTTGATGATAAAAAACTTATCCTTGTATTTTACTACCGTTTAATTGTTTATGGTTTTTCAGATTTTGTTTAAGGACAACAATAAGTTTACATTCATAAACACTAAACATATCAAAATAACTTACGAGTGGCCATAATGTTAAAATTTATGCGTGGTAAAGGTCAGCAACCAACAGCAGAAAGGCAGCGGCTGCAAAAAGAGCTATTTTCTTATAGGAAGGTAAGTACTAGAAACTTTTAAATTCATTCGTTAATACATCGACAATTGCTGTCTAGATTTTCCTTTATATGCTCGGCCATGGTCACTGCATCGTTTAATAACCTTGTCACATCGATAGCATCAGTTTTGATAGATATATGTACATTAGACTGCATCACTCCCCATACAAAAAAAATCGGTACTATGTTTCCATTGGAATCATAAAATCTGTTATATTTTATGACATCCACCGAAATATTTCGGAAAAATATTAAGATTTGCGTGAGCTGGACTGATTTGAAAATATCTTCAAAAATTGAATTTTTTATGAATAAAAATAGCTTCTTGTCAACAATTTTGAGTTTAAGGCCGTTTTTAATGAAAAACTTATTGTGGAAAAGCAACAATATTATGAAAAAATGGTAGAAGTAATAGCTATTTCAGAAATCACCACATTTCCTCATCAGACTTCTTTCAGTAGGATTGAACCGACGATCTCACTGACTCAGCCAGTTGCCAACGCACTGTGCTAAGTTCGCCTTGTAAATTATTGCTGCTTTTTTCCCATAATTTTGATTTTGAGGCCTCATTTAATGAAAAACTTATTGTGGAAAAGCAACAATATTATGAAAAAATGGTAGAAATAATAGCTATTTCAGAAATCACCACATTTCCTCATCCGACTTCTTTCAGTAGGATTGAACCGACGCACAGTGGGGTAATCGACCCTGAAAGTGGAGATGAATTCATACGTACATTTAATTCAAAATATTTTGATGTATTTGTATAACTACCACCAAATGAAGTAAAAAAAGAGCAATCCGAAAAGAGTTTAGTGGGAATTTTGTTTTTTCAGTAGGTTTTTATGGCGTTACCAAAGAGCGAAAACAGTTAAAATTTAGTTGTTACTCCCATAAATAATTTTTATTATTAATGATAATTTGTTAAAATCCTAATCATCATTAATTACAATTTAAACACCACTTCTATCACAATAATAATTATCCTCATCATTATCTTGATTACTATTTTCATCATCAACATCACCCACATCATCCCTTTTTTATGTAATTTTTTATATGATAATGAATACGAATTGTACAAATTTTCTCTTCAACAATTACCTACATGTTGTTGTTAAGCCTAGAAAGTAATTTAGAATATATAACCTTTAATAAAAATAATCATCATCTTCGCTCGCGTCATTGTCATCACTATCAATATCTTCATCATCGCTATAAGGCTGCATAATTAACGACTGTTGTGCTTCTTTCGGCAAATCCTATAATTTTTTTGGGGCAGTTTTCTCATACTTGATACAACAGGGTCGGAACTAATCAAAAGTCTATTGAATATATCTTCATTCGTGTTTTTTCTGTTGCACTTGCAAGAAAAATTTACTCTGTAGCTCTTAAAATTTTTGTTTCGCGCCTCTAGAGCTTCTGACAATTGACTGACATGTAACAAAGCGTGGGATATTATCTCTGGCCCATGGATGAAATATGTATGTATTTGTGGAGTGTTGGTTGCATTTTATACCATGGATAACAATTAACAAAATATTTCGCTGTATTTAAAGTGTAGTTGCGAAACTTTTCCACCTCGATTTGATGGCCACTAGAAACAGCTTTAATAATTGTGTGCATCATTATAACTAAATTGAGATCAACCTTTGTTATTATGGCTGACCTCTCGGCATTTTGAAAGAAACGCCTAGCCAGAGTTTTTCATTATTTCATAAAGCCTTTTACGAGTAACCCAAATGATATTTGAGCTCGTTCCTGTAAAGAAAATAATAATATAACTAGGCCTTTAGAGTTATGGTTATTCTCCGTTTACCCGTCTAGCGTAACCATATTAGTTAAAAATATCATTACTATCATTATTTCTATTCACTGCCCATGGCATTCTTGCATAGAACTATCAACACTATAAACAAGAATAAAGATTATAATTAACACTAAAAATATGCACTAGATACCATTCTTTACGGTTTCACATATACCCTATAAGTCAATGGACAAGTAAATTACGTCATTCTAAGCTATTATTGTAAAATTTAATAAACCCAAATTTTATTTTATAATTCTGAGCAGATATGTACATAAATGTATACATACTTTCTTTGATACGTGCAAGTACTAAAAGTTTCGCCTTTGAAACAAAACAGTATTTAGTCTACTTTTGATAATAAACGTGTGTATGTAATAGTTATGTCGTATGTAGGGTACAAAAAAAACAGTAATTGAGCAAACAACAAACGCGGACAGTAACAATATTACTTTCTTGTATGTTTTGTACTTAGTTTTCACTTGTTATATTTGGTTTTGTTCTTCATCGAGAATTTCATGTATATTTCACCAACGAGGTTATATTATATAAATCGATATATTGAAAAAGTGCGCAGGCATGCCGCAACTTTTTTTTTACTACAGAATGACACTATAACGTCCAAGGTATATGTAAATGATTACACTTTTGCTTGATTGCACCTACTTCTCAACTATATGTCTACGTATATAGCCAAAAACCCCTTATTTTTACGCTTACGATAAAAAATAAAATAAAATACTTAGAATCATAGTATAAGAAAACTAAAATCACCTTGTATTGCCTAAATACCTGAAAAAGAAGGCTACATTACCGTTTTTGATATATCATTAAAGAAAACTCAGATATAGCTTGTAAATTTTAAATATTAAATCACGTTGTGTTGTGCCCCTATCGCTCTTGATCCGAATAGGAATACCTCTGTGATTAACGAAATTGCGTATACATAAAACCACAGCAACGGTTGACAAGTCTCTGGCCACCTCCAAATGTATCGCTCGAATTGTCAAACAGGTGAACAAAGCTACCCACCTCTTTTCTTGCCGTCGCCCGATGGAAACCATTACCGGCCCGAAATAGTCAAGACCAGTGTACGAGAATGCTCTAATATAAGGTGAAAGTCGGTCAGCTGGTATTTGTCCCATGAGAGGAGGCCTCGGCGTAGCTGCTGCATTTTTGCAAAATTGGCATTCACGTTTAACAGATTTCAAAAGACTTCGAACGCTTGGGATCCAATATTTAGCTCGAAACGCACAGATAATAGCTTCCTGGTTTTGGTGATAAAACGTTTCATGGAAATGGCGAACTATGAGTCGCGACATTGCATGATTCTTTGGCAAAATTACTGGACGTCTCGTCCAAACAGGGAGACACAGAGCATTGTCGATACGACCCCCAATGCGCAATAAACCCTTTTCGTCTATCACGGGCGTTAATGTGGACTCCATTTTGGAAGCTGCTTCCCATTTCGCAATACCAAAAGTTCATCCACGAAAACGACTTTCTGAACGCGCCGAACTAACAGTTCCTCTGTCTCTTTGATCGCACTGGCTGTTACTTTTAATGTAGTCTCTTGATTTTCAGTATTTTTGGTTACCAAAGCATGAAACCTTAAAACGGCGTATTGAACCCAGCTCATAACTCTAAGAGTTAAAAGTTTGAAAACTATGTGAAAGGCATAACATCATCGTGCATCGTATCGTGTATAGCGGTTTCGCCCTCTTTTCGTTGTCGTTGTCATTTTTAGGAAGATCTGGGAATAACGGCCGATTTTCTTCGCCCTGCTTTAGAAACCCGAGTCCATTAATCCACTTCGAATCTACCTCAAACATATTACAAGACTGTGGTCGCGTTGCGTCGTCCGCTGGGTTTAGCGATCCGGGTACCCATCTCCATTGTGCTATTTCAGATGTATGAAGAATCTCGGAAATACGATTGCTTACAAACTGTTTATATTGGCGAGCTTCGGATCAAATCCACTGAATTACAGTCTTAGAATCCGACCAATAATTTATTAATGCAGGGTTTACTGTGTGACTCTCAGTAATTGCGTTACTTAACCGTGTTCCGAGCACCGCGGCCTGTAGTTCCAGTCTACGGATTGACATTGGTTTTAATGGACTGCAGCGAGATTTCGCTGCGACAAATGCAACTCTTATTTGGTTGTAATGTCTTATGCGAAAAAAGGCGACAGCAGAAAACGCTAGCTCACTTGCATCAACAAATATGTGCAATTGTATTTCGGAAGATGGATCTTTAAAAACTGGACTGTAGCATCTAGGTATGCGAAACTCTCTTATCTTGTCAAGCGATTTATACCACTCATACCATCTGTCGTAAATATCGTTAGGTATTCCATCATGCCAACCTATGCTAACCTGCCACAGATTTTGCAGCAAAATCTTTGGAACCAAAGTAATGTTTGCAAGGAACCCAAATGGATCGAATATCGACATCGTCAAACCCAACAACTGCTTTTGTTGGTCGTCGACTGCCATTTAAAACTGACGTTGGTATTTTAGCGAAAGCTAAGTTAAAAAAGAATATGTCTTGTTTAGCATCCCAATGCATTCCAAGCACTTTATCGCATGTTGATTTTGAACCGCACATATTTTTCGAATCACACTCATGTTCAAAATTTCCGCCAATAGCCTGCAGTAGCTTTGTAGAGTTCGAAACGAAACCTCTGAGAACGAAACCTACTTTGCTGTGAATCTCCGCCTCCTTTTGCGATACACATATGGCCTCCTCAATAGTAGTAAAACTATCCACATAGTCGTCAACATAGTGGCGATTGACGATTGCATCGACTGAACTCGGATAGTCAGCTTCGAATTTTGACGCATTCAAATTCTTCACAAACTGTGCAGAGCATGGATAGCAAATAGAACCAAATATCATGGCCTTCATGACATACACATCAGGTTGTCTTGATGTATTCCCTTCACGCCATAGAAAACGTTGTGAATTTACGTCTTCTTCGCGTATGTTTATGCGATGGAACATCTCTCTTATGTCCCCGCAAATAGCTATGTTCCCTTCGCGGAATTTGCATAAAATCGACTGCAGTGGTTTTGGTTGATAATCATCAGGGCCCTTCATAAGCACATAATTCAGAACGTCCGTAGCGGCTGCATCGAAAACCAATCTTGGTTTATTGCCCTTGTTCACATTATAAATGGCAAAATAAGGTAAATAGCAAATGCGCTCGCTAGATACTTCAGCTTCAACGGTATAAAGTTTTCTTGCATAACCCTTCTCTACGTAGTCATTTATTTTAGTTAAGATCCCCTGCCATTTTCCGCTCTACGGCTTGAAGCCGTTTTAATGCTGCACCATAACTCCCGGGAAGAGTTATGCTATCATAGTGCCATAAAAGGCCGGTCTCATACCTAATCGC